AACAACAACAACACCGTCATTACATACCCCCTTAATTATACGTGTCCTATTTCATGCACTTGTCACTGTCCTTGTAGGTTTGTAGTTGTTTGCTGACTGGCGTTTGTGACCTACGTTTGGACCATTTCTGCTTCCTACCCTACCATTCATGACAAACAAAAATACACCTGTGTGGGATCAGGGAACTAGAAAACGGTCAATTTGTTGGCCAAGCATTTGCTCTGAAGATTCCCCTAGTTACCTTTGCCTGTGCCTTGCTCAATTCTTCACCCAACAGCTTGGATGAAGTACCTCTTGCTGGGTCCAGAGTCAGACAGAGCTGAGCACATATTTCAGTTCCAGCCCTTACTACCTGTGTGTGGCCCTGTGCAAGTCACTTAACCACTCTGACCCTCTGGCTATGAAGTGAGGGTTCTGGTGACGTTAATGTACATGTCACAATCATTATTTTTCTTCTTGTGCATTTCAGTCTGCGGATATCGACAACCACCACGCCCTCATTGAATACAACGAGTCCGAGAGCAGTTTTATCCTCCAGGACTTCAATTCCCGCAACGGCACTTTCGTCAATGACTGCCACATCCAGAATGTGGCTGTGAAGCTGTTACCCGGGGACATCCTGAGGTTTGGGTCTACAGGGCTGACCTACGAATTGGTCATCGAAAACCCACCCTTGGTGAGTCCCGGTGGTTGCGGGGAAGCGGAAGTGGCGGTGCTGTGTGGCCTTCCCGGTAGTCTAGTATTCAGATACATCAGAGGGCTAGCTTTCAGTCTCATCTCACGCTGTGCACACAAGTGACAGCAGATGTCAGACCAAGTTCAAACCCTTCACGTGGATCTTGGGAGCTCCTGTCAGAGGAGAGAGTCTTCACTCCCTCTCCTGGCCTTTGTTGGATTACACCCAATCGTGGCATGGTTGTTGGTGTTAAGTTGTTAAGTCGGTTCCGACCCATAGCGACCCTGTATAGGGTTTCCGAGGAGCAGCTGGTGAGCTTTAACCGCTGACCTTGCAGTTCAAATGGCTTTGCAGTCTGGTGCAATAACCCACAGCGCCACACCAGGACTCCTTTGTGGCATGGTGGCCATCACACACAAAAATACCACACATCCATTGCCATCTAGTGTGACTGTGTGTTACAGAGCAGAACTGTGCCCCATAACATTTGAGTACTGCAAATGATAAAGCAGATGACTATTCACTGAAAGACTGGTGGTTCGAACCTAGCCACTCACTGGCACCACAGAAGACAGGCCTGGATTTGCTTCCACAAGGTCCCAGCCTTGCAAGTCCTCTGAGGCACAGTTTTGCTCCAATACATGGGGCCGCTGTGAGTCAGAAACCTCTTCATAACAACTGACAACAACAATCTTTATGGAAGGACATTGCCAGACCTTTCTTCTGTGGTGCCAGTGAGTGGGTTCAAACTGCCAACCTCCAGGTAAGTCACCGAATGGGGACCATTTTCACCACCCAGAAGAGGTAACATTTTCCTGAGAATGTACAGCTTCATGAGCACACAAAGGTGCAGGCTTCTGACATTTCAGAGATGGCTCTTTCGTTTGGGGACAAATCATCTCTCCTCAGCCTCCTGACTCTGACCAGCGTTCTGTGTATCCCTGGTTGTCAGCTGTCTCATCGGTCCTTGGCATGTGGCATTATGAAAGAATAGCTGTAAAACAAGAAACTCAGTGCCCAGCCCCAAGTAGACCCCAAACACATGGTTGTTGTTGTTGTTAAACCCCAGAGCAGGAATGTTCCTGGGGTCCTGGCCTAAATTACAGCCCCGACTTAAGCGACATCTAACACAAAGGTTGCCCTTAAGAACTTACTCACAAGGAACCTGAGGTTCCCCTGGGAAGCAGTACAGGAGAGAGGTTAGTGACACAGGCTTGTGTCCAATCCCCAGTCCTGCCTCTTACTCTGTGTTCTCTTGAGCAATCCATTTGACCCTTCTGGGCCTCGGTTTCCACATTTCTAAAATGAGGCTGATAACAGCAGTGACTTCAGACTTATTTTGAGGGTTGAATGCGGTGATGATGATTATAAAACTCTTCACACAGTGCTTAGCTCTTGGTGAGCAGAGAGTTAATATCTTCGGTGTGGTTCACTCAGATGGAATGTTTCACCCATTCGCCACCACCAAGAAAGTGGCAGAGACTTCAGAGCTCAGCAGCCTAGAATCTTTTCTGGGACAAGTTTGGGTAAGAAGAAATTAGATTAGAGACTCTAGCCAGAATCCCGAGGTTTAAAGCATGTACTCTGATAAGTTTTGACCCAGAAATGCACAGGTAAAACCTTCACATAATGGAGATAGTGGCTATCCATCACCCCAAAAGCCTCCTCCTTCGGGACACTGCATGTGTTTCTTTGCTTTTAACAGGTTTATTGGAATATACTACATTGTTGTTGTATGCCGTTGCGTCGGTGCTGACTCATAGTGACCCTGTATAGGGTTTCCAGGAGCAGCTGGTGGGTTTGAACCACTGACCTGTGGTTAGCAGTCCAGTGCTTACCCTGAAGTGCCACACTTATTGTTGTTGTTAAGTGTCGTTGAGCTGGTTTAACCCATAGCGACCCTGTATAGTGTTTCTGAGGAGCGACTGGTGAGCTTGAACCACCGATCTTGCAGTTCAAACAACTTTGCAGTCCAGCGCATTAACCCACAGCACCACAGCTGGACTCCACAGTGCCACACTAGGACTCGACTATACTATACATTAGGAGCTCTGGTAGCGTAGTGGTTACGAATCAGGCTGTTAATCTCAACGCCAGCAGTTCAAAACTACCAGCAGTTCCATGGGAGAAAGATGAGACTTTCTGCTCCTGTAAAGATTTACAGCCTCGGAAACCCTGTGCAGGTCTCTATGGGTCGGAACCAACTCAACAGCACATAACAACAACAACACACTACACATATCATAAAATCCACCCATTTTCAGTGTACAATTGAAAAAACGTTAGTTTATTTAAACAGTGTGTTGTTGTTGTTGTTATGTGCCATCGAGTCGTTTCCGACCCATAGCGACCCTGTACAGAGTTTCCGAGGGTGTAAATCTTTACAGGAGTAGAAAGCCTCATCTTTCTCCCGCGGAACAGTGTGTAACCATCATTAATTATCTACTTACAGAACATTCCCCTCACCCCAAAAAGAAACCTCAGGGGCACTGCATTTAAGATGTGATTCTTGTAATTAGACAAGTATGGGAACGAGCGGTTAATGTAGCTTTCGAAGAGCTCTCCCTCCTGACAGTGGGGGAGGAAGAAGAAGTTGTGTGTTTTTTTTAAGAAAGAGACAACAGGGTTTCTGGCATTGGAATGAGGAATCCTGGGGTGGTACAAATGCTTAAGCTCTAGAATGCTAACCAAACGGTGGGCTGTTTGAGGCCACTCAGAGGTGCCTTGAAAGAAAGGCCTGGTGATCTGCTGTCAAAAGGTCACGGCCATGAAAAGCTTATGGAGGACACTTCTACGTCACAACACATGGGACTGCCATGAGCTGGAAATGGCTTTAAAACAACTAGTTGTTTTTGATGTTTTTACCCACTTTGTAAGGTATAGTGTAAACAGTTAACACTCATCTGCTAACTGAAAGGTTGGAGGTATAACTCCACCTGGAGGCACCTTGGAAGAAAATCCTGGCGATCTACTTGTGAAAAAAACTGGCCATTGAAAACCCTATGGTGCTAGCAGTTTGCTCTGGCACATTTGGGGTTGCCGTGAGTTGGAATCAGTTCAACAACTACTGGGTGTGTGTGGTATCTCATTGGTACTGTGATGAGTAACAAAGAACACTGTGCTAAACAATTTACCTACTTTCCTTGCTTTCATGCTCACAACAACCTCAAATTCCAATTTGCAGATGGAATCGAAAACTCAGAGAGGTTAAGCAATTTTCCCAAGGTCACACAGCTAATCAGTGCACATTAAACTCTATCCTCTCTTGAGACAGGGGAGGGAAGAAAACCAATTAGTCTGGTGCTAGCTAGAACAATACCATAGACGGATGTTCAAGATAACAGCAAAGCACAATTTCACCATCATTTGACTTCTCCTGAATTCTGCCCATCTGCATTTCTAATTACAGTTGCACTTGGCTGCATTCTACAAGGCCTGCAGGTAGCTGCAAAGCTTCTCCCCTGGTCTGGGCTCAGGGCACCTGGGTAGTGTTGCTCCACAGCCTGAACCTCCCAGGGAGGAGTCAAACCTCCTCTGCTTCTGCTGAGCCCTCCCCACTTGTGTATCTCCCCCATCCCCAACCCCAACCCTCCCGCACTCCCAGACTCACAAAAGTGCTCTGGACTCACTCTCAGAATGTACCTAGGTCAAGAGACTTTTATAGAAGCATCCTCTTAGAGACCCCATGAGACAGAGCAGAACGACCTTATAGGGTTTCCTAGGCTGTAACCTTTATGGAAATAGAATGCCAGGTCTTCTCTTCCCTGGAACCTCTAGGCAGATTCGAACCACCAACTTTTCAGCTAGCAGCATAGCGAGCATTTAACCTTTGTACCACTCCGTTAGCATCCTCCAAGCTGCCATTAATGGAGGGGTCCCTCCCGGCCTGAGTGAGGGGCAGTCCCATGGACTATCGGTTGTGTTCATTTTTGCTGGCCCAGACCTGCAGGCTAAAATAAAAAAGGTACTAAAGAGTCATTCTCACCGAATCTTGGGGTGCAGTTTTCCCAAGTGTGGCTGTCTTGATCTCTGCTTGCTCCAGTGTCTGATTGATTTGGGGTAGGGGGGTCCTGCCAGGCATGAGTTTTTCATTTTCCCATGGGATAAACTTTTCTGCAAGTTAATGCACTGGACTGCAACATCGGTTTGAACCACAAAGTTGGCAGTTCAAGTTCCCCAGCTGCTGCTTGGAAACTCTATATGGGGTCACTATGAGTCAGAATTGACTCGACGGCACTTAACAACAACAACCACATGGTATTACTACATTATTAATTATTAATCCATTAGTCCTGGTGTGGTGCTGTAGGATAAGCACTGGACTGTTAACCACAAGATCAGTCTTCTCCTTAGAAACCCTGTATGGGTCACTATGAGTTGGGACCAATTTGATGGCATTTAACAACAACAGAAATAGTATTTAAAAAAAACACACACACACAAACCATTGTTGTTGAGTTGGTGATGACGCATGGAGATGCCATGTGTTATGAGTAAGAGTAAAGTTTTCTTGGCTTTAAGCTTATGGAAGCAGACGGTGGTGGTGGTGGTTGTGTGCCTTGGAGTCGGTTCCCACTCATAGCTACCCTGTGTAGGGTTTCCAAGGCTGTAAATCTTGACAGGAGCAGAAAGCCTCATCTTACTCCTGCGGAATGGCTGGTAATTTCGAACTGCTGACCTTGAGGTTTGCAGCCCAACTCCTAACCATTACGCTACCAGAGCTCCTATGGAAGCAGATAGCAAGGCTTTTTTTTTTTCTGTGGTGCCTCTAGGTGGGTTAGTACCACCAGCCTTTTGGTTAGTAGTCAAGGGCACACCGTTTGTAAATTGCTTAGTGCAGCACAAATTAGCAGGAGCTAGCACGTTAGAAGCCCTGTTGCTTCATTTTGTGAGCATTCCTTTGGACAGGAAACTGCTCAAGAGCTCCCTGGTATCAGGTGAATTGGTGTTGTTAAGTGCTGTGGAGTCAGTTTTGACTTAGGGTTTCCAAGGAGCAGCTT